ACTCAAAACATGTCCCTGTGGTGGTCACCGTGGCCTTGGGGAAGAGCCAGGAGTCATGTGGGGAAGAGGATGGGAGCACAGCATTGTGCTTTATGAGCCCGCCTTTCTATCAGATGGCACTCGGCAACATCCTTCATTGTGTTTTTGATCACACCTCATAAACACATTCACAAGGGAATGTGTTTATGCTCAGTGGTGCCGCGCCTGCCTGGGAAACACAAGTCCTGAGACCAATCCCTGGTACCAGAAAAAAAAATTTAAAAATAAAAATAAATTTAAAGACACTCACAAAAGACTTCCAAAACTGCCTCAGAAAGTGGCTGAACAATTGGGTAAATGTGTTCAAATCCAGGGGCTGAGAATTTTGAGGGGGTTTCCTAACAATGTGTCTTTACTACAATACATTATTTCTAAAAAATATTTTCAGTTCACCGTATTTTTGATCACCAGTTTAAGTCTATGGTAAAGTTTAATTTACAAATTAGGCCCAACGAGAGAGTAACAACAACTAATAAAATAGAGAACAATTATAATGATATACTGTAATCAACGTTGAGTGAATGTGGTCTCTCTTCCTCTCCCTCTCGACCACTGAACATTTTCAGACCACACCTGACCAGAATAACTGCAAATACTGAAAGTGGGGCCCTTGCACACCAACACACTTCCAGGAAGCCTCCCCAGTGCCACCTGCCCTGCTTATCCATGCTACAGGAAGATACGGAGACTCCGCGCCGGACTCAGGTACTCTATCTGGGTCTCTATCTCAATGTCCTTTTGTACTCTGAATGTCAGCAACCAGGGGTCCAACTAGTCTCCTCCAGAAGCTTTCTAGACTCTCTGAATACATTTGATCTGAATCCTCCCGTCTCACTCATCTTCTTGACACTGGGACAAAGTTCCCAACACACCCACAGCTTACATGAGGAGAGCTTTATTCTGGCTCATAGTTTTTAGGGGATTCAGCCCACAGTCAGCTGGCTCCAAGGTAGTAAGGGAATGGCAGAAGGGCAGGGAAGAGGAGAGCTGCTCACCTCATGGCGACCAGGAGGAAAGAGAAGGGAGGAGCTTGCAGATGCGTGGGGGGGGGAGCCTTCCAGGCCACGCCCCCAGTGACTCCTCTTCCGGCCAGGCCCTGCCTCCCAACAGCAAGTCAGACGTGGGCTTCTCAATAGACGGACCTCCTTCATCACCTCCACCAGGCCAATTCCCGAAGCATCGTAGGAGGTTGTACAGGCACAAAATGTAAACGCCTCTCCTATGATCTCTGACCCACCTTGCAGATTCTAAAAAGAGCTCTGGGCTGGCAGGAGAGGCCTCTGACTGCCAAGGGCCCAGAGAGGAAGACTGAGTTCTCCCTGGCAGGAAGGCATGAGAGACGGGACTACAGGATAGAAGTGAAAGAGCAAGAAGGAGCCAAGGAGAAAGGCAAGAGGGCAGAATTTCGTGGTCTTCCTCGCGGTACGTGAAAAACCGCAGCTTTGTAAAATAGCTACGGATAAACACTAGAAGGTAACACAATATGAAAAGCCCCTCTGTTCTGTTGAAGCCATTCTGTTGGTATTCTGAGCATGCCCCCGTCCCGAGCTCCTCCACGTGGTTAGAAGATGAAGGGGGAAATGCCGCTTAGGGGTTAAGGCCCAGAATCCATGAAGGAAGCCAACGGAGTCCCTGGTCTCAGGCGGCTCGGCAAAGTGCTTTACAGTTCTCAGCTGAGGGATCTGGTTCCAAGTGTTCCGGCTCGTAAAGCCAAGGGAGACCCCAGGTTACGGAGACTTAAATTTCTGACAACAGAGAACAGATGCCTCCAATTGTAGAGACTAAATATTTCCTGAAACGGAACTCACAGAGGAATTTACTGCGGGCTCCTTGTAGTAGACAATAAATTCCACTACAGTTTTACATGAAATACTGTTGAAGTTCTGAGCACAGAGCTCCATGTGTGCAGTGCAGCTGCCAGGAGCTCTGCTCCGTGGGGACCTTGGTGGGCGTCTGGGCTCCGCGAAGTCTCAAGGACTCTGCACCCCGCACCCAGAGTCGCCTCCCGCCCAGGAGCAATGGCCAAAGTCTGCTCCAAGGGTTGCTTCATCCATGTGTGGACGAGCTGAGCTTTTTCTAACGCCGCGGAGAGCCACGGAACCACGTTAGTTAGAGAAAAGATGAGATCAGGCTTGTGTTCAGGAGGATCTGCGGTTGTAGCGCAGATTGTTAATTACAGCAGGAGGGAGAGGCTAGAGGAAGAGAAACCAGTTACATGGCTTTCAAAAGAAGAGGCAAGCGATCCAGGGGGCGGCACGGCGGGGCTAGGGTAGGAGTGGGACCCTGGAAATCAGGTGCCCAGGACAGGAAGGGGCGGTTGAGGATGGGTTGGGGTGCAGGCCACACAGGGGACTGGGGCACAGGCTATTCATCAGGTGGTGGTGGGGGAGCAGGTACACTCGCCGAGGCTCCAGACACGGCCTGGGCTGGGCCACCGCTGCTGGGTGACATGGAGCCACCCAGGTGTCCTGCAGAGTGAGGCGAGCAGGGCCACCCTGGGCTCAGCCTTGGGGAAGTGTGTAGGAGCTAACGGGGGAGCCCTCCCCTCCTCCCCTCCAAGGCTGGTGGCCCCCAGGTCGGGGAAGACCTGAGGCAGGAGTGGGGAGCAAGTTCCAGGTGGCCCAGGCAAGGACCAGAAAGCGGGTGGGTGTCCCCAAAGCCTCATGTGCTCATACATGGGGCTCTCTGCGGACTACTGTGAGGAGGCGGGGGCTGGCGGGAAGGGGCAGATCCTGGGGCATGGCCTGGAAGGTTGGCCCCTCCACAGCTCCTCTCCCCTTCCAGTCCACCATGAGGTGAGCAGCTCTCTTCCACCAGGCCCTCTGCCACCACCCTGCCTTCAGGCTGCCGACCACGGACTGAAACCTCTGCAAACTGTGAGGCATCGGGGGCTGTGTCTCAGTGACAAGGAAGGTGATGAAAACACACCCTCAAGGCAAGGCAGACAGACCTGTTTCCACATCTAGATGGGGCAAGACTGTGGCACTGCACCGCAGCTGACCGGCCTCTGGACCTTCTGGAGACCAGGGACTCCCCACCACATCCTCCAGAACCACACACCTCCCGGCTTCTCCCAGCCTGCCCCGATGCAGCCTTTCCATCCTTCCCCGAAAGATTCACTCCACCACGTGAGGAAAAAGCGAATATTTTGAAAAGCAGGAAGTGACTAATTCATTTGTTCTTTGAAATGGCTCATTAAAAATATTCTCTGGCTGGGGTAGAGCTGGGGGTAGATCGTTTGCCTAGCAGAGCCAACACCCCACATTCCATCCCTGGCACTGTAAACAAAACAAAATAAAAATATTCTAACAGCTACATTTTTAGATGATTTCATTTAAAAAGAAACAATAGGGTGTTAAAATCTTTGAAATTTGTTTCCTTTTTTTGGTACTGGGGATCAAACTCGGGACCTTGTGCTTGCAAGGCAGGTGGCGGAACCACTGAGCTAAATCCCTGGCCCAAATCTTTGAAATTTGAAGTGAAGGGACAAATCCTATCCTGAGACTCAAATGATAAAATTTTGTTTTTCTCTTTATAGGTTTTCTGTAAAGGAATACACTAAAAATACCCAAAGAAAAATCACCAGGAAAGAACACTCCTCCTTCAAGTCCTCTTCCTAGTTTTTTTTTTAATGTGGATCAGAATTGTGGATTCTCTGCCTATTTTTTCATAATGCAATAACCACTTATTTAATATGAATAAAATATGACTAAAAATCATGTGTTGATCTTGGAAAAAGATGAATTTTCAACATGCCTCTAATATAATAAATCAGTGTACTTTCTACTGTAAGATCCAAGATGGTCATTTTCAAAACTACACCACAAAGACAGAAGTAAATTAGCCCATCATTTGTCTTAAAAATATTTCACACACACACACCTGTAATCCCAGCACTCGGAAGCCCGAGGCAGGAGGATCACTGTGAGTTCCAGACCAGCCTGGGCTACATAGTGAGTTCCATGTCGTCTCAACTACCTAGTAAGACCCTGTCTCAAAACACCAAACCAAACCAAACAAATATATTTCACAGTGAGTAGCTCTGCATAAACTGAACTGGATTCAAGGAAACCCCGTTCATCTTCAGGCATTTTCAGGGAGCATGAGGCAGCTCTTTCCATCTGGGGGCCCAGCTCAGCCAGTGGGTATCCCTGAAAATGTTCCGCACAAGAAATAGTGTGGTAGCACGTAAAAAGAGTAAACGCTTTTGAAGACAGAGGCACACAAAGAGAGGCTGACGTTTTCTTCAATGCAAATAGGATTTCAATTAGATTACACAGTCACCTCCGTTACAGTGACTGAAAGCAAAGGGGTGAAACAGGGAAAGTCCTTATCTCAAATTTAAACAATAAGAAAGCACAGATAAGTAGATCTTTCAGCAGTGCCCCACAAGTACAACCTCTGGGAAGGATGTGAACATTCGTTAAAATTCTATGTGCCACAAACTTGTCTGCTTGTTCATGTAACCCTTACAACACTCCTACAAAGCCGGGATTGCTACCCTCAATTATAAATTTAAAATAATGTATACAGAGTAGGCTGTTTAAAAGTAGGCTGTTTTTAAAGTTTTCAAAGTAGGCTGTTTACATTAACTAAAGCACTTCAGTTACCTAAAATATTTAAATGTAAGGCCAGGTGTGTGGTGCCATGTGCATGTAATCCTGGCACTCCAGAGGCAGAAGCAGGAAGGTTGCTGTGAGTTCGAGGCCAGCCTGGGCTCCATAGTAAGTTCAGGGCCAGCTGGACCACAAAGTGAGACTCTATCTCAAATAACCAAAATAATAATAACAACAATAATACTAATAAAATGTATAGCTAATATGCATACATGACAATGAACTAATGTGTGAGTAATCACAAATAGGACTGCATTAGTTATAGTGTAGAGTTGCCAATATATAGCTGTATGATAATTATATAATATAAATATTTATGTACAGAATCAGTGATTATACGGCCAATTATATTCATAGCAGAGCTACGCACTCCTTAGCAACATCGGTTCTGACTTCTCTGTGAACACTTATTTGACACACAGGACGACCCACACACACGTAGCACCACCATCCCCTGCGTGCAAACACCCCTGCAGGTAAGACGAAGTGACGCTGTGTCAGAGGATCACTCAGTAACGGGCAGCACCAGTCTGGGGAGGGGGAGCCAGCGGACAAACAGCACCATCTTCTCTGGAGAGCCGGGTGGCTGGATCTAGGCATCCTGCATGGCCTGTGTCAGCAGCAGGGCTCTGGAGGGTGACGGATGGCAAGCTGACCCGCTGTCAGGATGTGGGACCCCGGGGAGCTGGACACGTCTCTGTCCCCATACCTCCCTTTTTTCTCTGCTTCCTGGCCCTGTGGCCAGGCAGCTGTCCCCACGGCAGGCCACTCTGTCGGGCTGCTTCTGTGCGTGAGCCCCAACTGCCGGGTGAAACTTCTGCAACCGCGAGCCTCCTCTAAGTTGTGGGCCGTGGGTCTTGTGTGCCGGCGACAAGGACAATGATGGAGAAGAGGCCCCCGATATGGGCCGTCCTGTCCAAGGCCAGGCACGTGGTCCCCGCAGCTGGAGCTGCGTGGCATCCTCAAGTCCAGCATGGGAAAGATGCAACTGTCCATCGGCAGCAGACGGGTAAACAGAGAGCACAAAGGCCAGAGGAGCGCAGCGTGCAGCCAGGAGTAAGGACGAACCATGTACAAAGAGGCGGAGGATTCGGCCTCCAAAGAGAAGTGTGCAAAAGACACAGCGCATACAAGGTGGGATCAGAAACTGTGGTCAGTGTTTCCAAGTTTTAAGAAATTTACTGCAGTAAAAGACATGCGGCTGTGAATCCCCCTCAAAATCCTCCCCTCACTTGGAACACACTCCTCCCTTGGTGCTCGCCACTGTCTGCAGCAGCTCCGGGAGTCCCCCTTCCCGAGGCTCTTCAGTTGCACTGTTGTGGCTGCCTGGATGTCCCGAATGGATCCAGAAGGTCTCCCTTTTATGGTCATTTTGACTTTGGAGGAAGAGCCAGAAGTCGATTGGCGCCGGCTCTGGTGAGTAAGGCGGAGGAGGACACCGCCTCATGTTTTTATGAGCTGCCTTCCTTTGGAGGGCGCTGAGCGTCACCATTCACTGTAACCGTGACTATGGAGGGACACAAGAGCAGATAGGAATCACAACACACACACACACACACACACACACACACACACACACACACACACACACACGAAAGCATATCCCCCAAACCCGAACAGAGGTTGCTGCTGGGGACCATTGGGGGTGAAGCTGAGAAGAAATGTGTCAGGGGCTCCCTGGATGAAGCCCAGGTCTGTGTCACTGCTCTGTAAGGCACTGTGTGTCACACTAAATGCCCGGGGAAGCAGTTGCCCCCATGTACACACACGTACACACACGTGCACAGACCTACTGGTCCTGTGTTTTTCTGTGGACAGAGCTCTTATGTATGATTTCCACCTTCCCTTCCTGGCCTTAGAGTTTCAGATACTTTGGCAGCAAACAGTTCATGCGGCAGTGAACAACAGAGTCTCCACCACATGAGTCCCGGCTGGGACAACTCAAGAGGCAGGGAGGGGAGTCAGCATTCCTGGCCAGGATTTATGACTTTGGCCAGACTAACAGCCTGCCACCACCTAGCAGCTTCTGGCGGCCTCTGTATGGGGCAGCTGGGGAATGTCCTCCGGGGTTTGACAGCCGGCCACACCCTGACCCTTTCACTTCTCCTCTGCCCTTTTCTGGTTGTGTGGAACCCTTGTGGGATGGGCCTGGCCCTTCCTGGGGTCCCTGAGATGCGTCCCTTCCTTCTCCCAGCCTCACAAACGTGGAGAGCAGGTGAGTAGAAGCTTCCACCTGCTGTAACATTGGGGGTGCGTGGGACGCCACCAGGCTTAGTTCCCAGCAACGAGGACAGAAAATGAGGCACTGAGGCCACAGCTTTTCTCCATAGCAAATGAAATATCTAAGAGCAGCATTAGCCAGGCAGTGTGGTGCATGCACTGAATCCTGGCACTCGGGAGGCTGAGGTAGGAGGATTGCAATGTCCTGCTTGGGCAACTTAGTAATTTAGGTGAGACCCTGTGTCAGATTTAATAAAAGAATAATAATAAAAGGTTTGATGTATGCAAAAAGTCTAGGTTCAATTTCCAGAGCCAAAAAGAAAAAGAAAAGAAAATTTTTTAAGAACAACATCAAAAGCAAAGCGTCAAAGCTGGGCGTGGTGGTGCACGCCTTTGATCCCAGCACTCCAGAGGCTGAGGCAGGAGGATCGCTGTGAGTTCGAGATCAGCCTGGGCTACACAGTGAGTTCAGGGCCAGCCTGAACTATAAAGGGAGATGCTGCCTCAAAACAAACAAACAAACAAACAGGACACAAAACAAAAGCTCTGACACTAGTGGGCTTTGGTTTAGTTTTGGGTTCTTAAAACTAAATCATGATTTAGATCATCCTGATAATAAGTTTCATAGACTGGGCAGCAATGAAGCACAAATTTTGCAATGGACACCATGCGGTTGAGACCTGCTGAGCGACAATCTCTCCAAAGTGCTCTCAATCACACACCGATGGCCAAAGGACAGGTCTTCTCAAGACTGCACTGCTGTCCACACAGAATCATGAGGCTCAGCTGGAGTCTGTGGACTTGCATCCTGTCTTAAATATTCTCTGGTGACCCATAGGCCTGAGAAGAAATCAAAAAGGAAACGCGGGGTCGGGGACTTAGCTCAGTGGTTCCGCCACCTGCCTTGCAAGTGCAAGGACCCGAGTTCGATCCGGTACCAAAAAACAAAACAAAACAAAAAGGAAATGAGTCCTCAGTCAAGGACCATCAAGAGGGCAGAGTGGAGCCAGGTGTGGTGGCGCAAGCCTGTCAACCCAGCACTCGGGAGGCTGAGGCAGGAGGATCACTGTGAGTTTGAGGCCAGCCTGGGCTACACAGTGAGCTCAAGGCCAGCCTGAACTTCATAGTGAGACCCTGTCACAAGAAGCAAAAGCGAAAACAGAATAACCTCTTGGAAAGTGACAGGGAAAGTGACAGATGAAATACTAGCCATACTTCATAAAAAGAAATGATAATTTGGACATCACTACAATGATTAAAAGTTCTGCTCTGTAAAAGACATGCTAAGAGAATGAAAAGACGTAGACGGGAAGAAAATATTTGGTGTTTTGAGACAGGGTCTTGCTTGTAGTTCAAGCTGGCCTTGAACTCACTGTGTAGCCCAGGTTGGCCTCAAATTCTTGGTGATCCTTCTGCCTAAGCCTCCCAGGTGCTCGGATGAGAGGGTAAACCATCATACCTGGCTGGAAGAAAATATTTGTAAAAACACACATCTGACAAGCTCTGATAGACAGAATATACAAATAATTCTTAAAATTCAAACAGAAGAAAACAATAACCCAATTAAAATGGGCAAAAAAATGCCCAGTTGCAAGGGATTTAGTTCAGTGGTGCTGTGCTTGCCTGGCAAGCACAGAGTCCTGAGTTTGATGCCCAGTACAAAAAAAAAAAATTCCAGTAGGGTGGTAAATGCTTATAATCTCAGCTCCTCAAGACGCTGAAGCAGGATTGCAAGTTCTAGGTCAGTCTGGTCAAATTGGCATGATTCTGTCACAAAATAAAAAAATTAAAAGAGGAGGTAGCTCAGCAGTTGAGACTTTGCCCAACATGTACAAGGCCCTGGATTTCATCCTCAGAACTGAAAAAAAGAATCCTCAGAAAAAAAAAAAAACCAAAAGAAAGAAAAGAAAACAAATAGCCGTCAGGCCAAAGCTCTGCACAAGCAGACACCTCACCAGGAAGAGATGCAATCATGCCGTCCAGGGTAAGTAGCGAAGAAAATGTGACCACCCTCAGCCATCAGGGGCCTGCAAATTAAACAGCACTGTGACCCATGCACCCCTGGTAGAACAGCAACAAACAATCACTGGCGCTCACAGCGATGGGGCCAGAGGAGAGACTTCAGTGCCCAGCACTGACTGAGGGACTCCGACCCCAAAGGCTGCTACGTGTGGTCCTGACCACACACCTTTCTGGGAAAGATGGAATGACGGAGCCAGTAAATACAGCGTGGTTTCTGGGGCGACAGGCATGCACCCTTGCACCTGGCCCCAACAGGGGAATTAAGAGTAACATGGTACTCCAAAGAGGTTGAAGTAGGGCCAGGTAGCTCAGTGGTTCTGGGGTCTGCCTCACCAACATAAGGAACCAAGTTTGATCCCTGCTACCAAAAAAAAAAAAAAAAAAAGAGGTTGAAGCAGCCAGGTGTGGTGACCCCCACCTGTCACCCCAGCACTTCGGAGGCTGAGGCAGGAGGATCCCTGTGAGTTTGAGGACAGCCTGGTCTACACGTGAGACCCTGTCTCACAACAAAGAGGCTGAAGCACATTAGAGTTTGCTGTTTAATGATTAATCCTGCAAGGGCAGGTGCAACGGCCCCAGCTCCATGGATAAGGGACCAACAGGACAGAGACACACAGGATCGGTTTATGAAATTAGGTGGCCAAAGTCCCAGGACCTGAGACTCTGCTAGGAAGTGGCTATGTGGTTCCGCCCAAGTCCCAAGGGCAAGAGAAGGCGCTGTCCGGCTCCAGAAGGAGGTCTGTCCCTCCCACTTAAGTTGCCAAGTTGTGCAGGCTGGGCTTGAGATTTAGATCCTCCTGCCTCAGCCTCCCACAGGGCTAGGACAGCAGATGTGTGCCACCATGCCCTGCCATCAGCTCTGCGCTACCTGTGGCTGTGCTGTCTCTCTTGGTGTGGACAGCCAGCCTCTCTCTCCCATATCTGGAGGATAAGCTGGGGCAGCTTCTGCGGCCCAGGGGCCGACTCTGTGGGGCAGAGCAGCAGCCTCGTGGCACTGGGGCCTCCTTTTTCATCCTCCTGCAACCTCCAGGCCCCTCCTTGGACCCCAGGCCTAGAACTGCAGGAAGGAGCCACGCCAGGCTGTTACAGGTGGAACTCTGGGCCCAAAGAAGTGCTGGGAGAGGAGTCTGCAAGGGCACAGTCACCACAGCGCCAACAGGAAGACGAGGTGCTGGGGGGCGCTCATGGCCTCCCCCTTGCTGTCCCTCAGCGCAGTCCCCTTCCCAGCACACACTGCCTGCTCCTGCGGCTGGGAGGCAGCCACCGCCAGTCCTCCTGGGTCCCTGGGCCTCCTTGGGTGCTGCCTTGTTTGTTTGAGTGCAGCCCCGAGTCCTGCGGGCCAGCTGGGTGGCCCAGGTCCTTCCGGCCAAACACTGAGCGGAACTGTCAGACCCTGGTCATCAGCACCATTGCTGCTCCCCTCCTCAGAGAGACGTCACTTGGCGCCCCGGGGGCAGTGGGACCTTTGTGTCCAGCGGGATGAGCTGAGCCTTCTTTTGGAGAAATGATGGGAACCGGATATCAAAGGGTAGGGCCTGGCTATGGGAGGACAAGCAACCAATCAATCCTAGGGCCAGCACAAAAAGACTGAGGGTTTCAGGGTCCATGGCCAGGCTGACTTTTCCTTCTGGCTTTTTATTTGGAGATCACCACGGACCCACGGGAATCTATAAAGTGACAGCAGCAAGGACGCGTGGCACCGTCTGTCCAGCCGTCCCCGGCCCTGGCCAGTGTGGGCCTGCGGTCCACACCCAGGACAGGCTCCTGCTACCGCTGCCACCCCTTCGCAGCCCCATCTCCCCAAACCCAGCGGTCAGGCTCCCACCCGCTCTTCCCCAGCCAGGGTCCCAGGCTCTGCACCCACCAGGGGTTCGTCCTGCTCACCAATGCCACCAGGGCTCACCCTTGCCGTCCCCGTGCTCCCAGCCTCCTTCTGGCAGGCTCTGCTCCTCTCTCTCTACCCACAGAAGTGTTCCTGTCCCGGGGGCCCTGCCACCGCTCCTCCCTGACAGAAAGAGACCGCTTTCTTCCCCACTCATTTCTCAAGCTCGGGCACCCATCTGATGGTTCCTGTGTTCCCAATTTGGGACAAAGAAAATGGTCAAAACAGGCATGCTGGTGCAGGAGGATTGCAAGTTCCAGCCCAGCTGGGGCAACTTAATAATTTAGCAAGTCTCAAAAGAAAAAAAAAAAACAGAGCTGAGGATGTAGCTCAGGGCAAAGGCCCTGGGTTCAATCCTCAGCACAGGACAATTAAAGGATACACACAATGGGAAAGGGAAGTGAGGGTCTGTGAATTCCACCTAAGGAGAAGCTGCGCCTCACCTGAAACCCCAACAAGGTAAGGCATAGTGCGCCTGCCCAGAGCCAGCCCTCGGGGGTGGGGTGGGGAGCAAGGTCCGCTTCCGGGAGGCAGGGCAGCCCCTCCTCCAGACGCCCGGCCTCTCCAGCAGTCCTTGTGCTCCCGGGGCAGCGGTCTGCGGGAACCGCCTTTCCAGCTCAGGAAAACACCGTGCAGCTCACCTCCTGCCCTGTGTGCTACAGGGAATGCTGCCCCTTGTCCCCGCGGGAAGGCAGGTGGGGCGTCTTCTTATGCCTCACTACAGTCATCTGCTTCTGAGCGCTTTTCCATCACACACCCCCAGCCCCCCACCCCCCCCACTGCCGCCGACCCTGGATCTCTGCTGCCGCCAGCCCCCCACTCGGCCCTGGAAGACCCTTGTGTGCGGGGTCACCCGGGCCGGCCCCAGGGGCAGGAGTAAGGGTGCCAAGTCACACCCCATGTCCAGCCCTAGGGGGCCCTGCCCAGCACCGCGGCCCCCTGGGTCACGGCGGCCCCCTGGGTCATGGCCTGCAGTCCCGAGATGCTCTGCCCTGGCGTCCCCTCAGTGACTGTAGGAATGTCTCCCAGGCAGCTTGGGCTCTGGGAAGTAGGGTAGGAAGATGACAGCAGAACTCACTGTGTAGGCCAGGCTGGGATCCTCCTGCCTCAGCCTCCTGAGTGCTGGGACGGCAGGTGTGCTCCACAATGCCTGGCCAGTCACTGCCTTTTGTATTACATCTCATAAAGACTCTGGAAAGAGGACTCCAGACCTGCTTCAGAAAGTGACAGGAATAGTAGCAAAAGTGGTTTGAAGGCAGAGGAGGATTCTGAGGGACATTAATGCCAGTGTGACTTTTACTGTGATAAAATGTGAACATTCACCGAATCTTTGAGCACACCCCACAACACAGCTCCAAGCCCCTCCCTGGAGGCTAGTGGGAAATTAATTCAGCCCTGCCTTTCCTGGGCTTGACAGAGGCCTGGGAGAGTTTCTAAACCTGACAAGTCACCAGCTATGCTGGAGGGGACAGCCCCCACCCCCCCACCGGAGCCACCTCTGTCCTCACTCTGGTCATCCACATCAGATACTCCTGCCAGGGCCACACCAGCCATCCTCACAGCAGGACGCTGTCCCGAGGGCCCAGAAGCTCGGTCCTGCTGCCAGTCTTGCCTGAGTCTGGGCCAGAGGGAGCCACAGGGATGAGGGTGGGGCTGGCAGGGACCCGGAGCTCCCACAGTCCCCTCCGCCCCTTCATTTGTGGCCCAGTCTATTTCAGGCACTTCGGTTCTGCCTCCCTCGGGAGCTCCAGGCCTCAAGCTGGGTGGCTTCTGGGACCACGGGCCTTTGGGCTTATTTTAACTTTTATTTATTTACACTGCCCTGTGCGTGCCAGGCAAGAACTCTGCCAGGGAGACACTCTGCCCTTGGCTGGCTCTTTTGTTTTGGGCACTTCGGATCGGACCCAGGGCCTTCTTGCAGAGGCTGCATCCCCAGACCTTCTTTTAATTTTTATTTTTTGAGACAGGGTCTTGCTAAGTTGCCCTGGCTGGGCTCAAACTTTCAGTCTTCCTGCCTCGGCCTCCCAGAGCACAGAGTACAGGCATCCCCCCCACACACACACACACACTGGGCCTGCTGATCCTCATCTTGAAATCTATACCCAACGTCCCCTGAAGACTCCATAGGGACCCAGGCTCTGGAAATAGAACTGGGTGTCCCGTTCAGATCTGTCCCACATGGGCATGAAATACTTTACTTGACTCACTGTTGATTTCCCAACATTCTTGTGAACGGGGCATTTAGGCCACAATTCCCCTGGGCGTATTTTGAGGTTTTGTGTTGAAATGGCTGTACAGTAACTCGAGTTCTCCCAAGGACAGTTGCGAATGTGAAGAAGTGATATCGTGCAGCCTGCTGTCTGAGGTTGGCTGCAGAAGGTAGCACGATTGTCCTAAGGCCCAGGGAGGAGGCCAGGGACAGAGAAGAGCCCAGTGGCTATGTCTTGTGGCCCAGCCCCCTGGGGCTGTGTGACCAGGGACTGGTGGTCCTGAGCCTCAGTTTCTCATCCATTAGATGTCTCTGCCTTGCCCTTGCATGGGCTTTTTGAGAGGTCAAAATGAGATTGGTTCAGCCTGTGACCCCAGCACTCTGGGAGGCTGAAGCAGGAGGATCTCCAGTTCAAGCCCAGCCTGGGAAATTTATCAACTCAGTGAGAGCCTGTCTCAGAATAAAAATACAAAGAAGAGGGGGCTGGGGATGCAGCTCAATGCAGAGACTCTGGGTTTAAACCCCCAGTACTGAAAAATAATTTTTTTAAAAAAGTCCGATAAATGAGATTGGTTCATGTTAAAGTATTAGCAAAGGTAGAAAACTTTGATCCTGGCCCAGCACGCTGCTCCCCAGCCAACCTCTCCTCCCTCTGTGTTCAGAGTATTCCACCTTGGGCAGTGGAAAGCTTCTGCAGGTGCTGCTTGTTCCTTAGACAGCTGCTCTCCTCCGGTTTTCCCAGTGTAGTGAGGGAGGCAGAAAACTCAGCCTCCTCAGTCTCCCACACTCCTGGCCTATACTGCTGCCTTAACCGACAACTTTCAGGTACAGACACTGGAATGTTTTAAAACCTCCACTGAAAGCCAGCTGTGGTGGCCCATGCCTGTAATCCCAGCACTCGGGAGGCTGAGGCAGGAGGATCACTGTGAGTTTGAGACCCGCCTGGGCTACATAGTGAGTTCCAGGTCAGTCTCAACTACATAGTGAGACCCTGTCTCAAAAAATCAAA